ATTTCCCATGCACTAGGCCCCGTGATAAAAGTTTGTGTCATGTGTCTAAGTATTCAAGAACTCAACACTGATGGGGATCGAACACGTGACTTAAGGAGGTTTACAATATATATATATTTATAACAACATTTCTTAGCAAAACAACCCAATTAATTTTCAATCTAGAACAAAAAAGTCATGTAAAAGGCTGAATATTCATAAAAACCGGCATCGATAGCTCCAAAGTGTAGAAAATGATACCAAAACAGTGTTGAAATCGCCCGAGATGGTTTGGATGCAATCTTGGGTAAATTTCTAGAAGATTCAATGTATTTGGACGCTTTTTTGAAGATTGCATGAGGCATCTCTTAGGAAATTCATCCCTACACTATAATGGAGTGCTTTTATGTAAGAAAAAGTGGTGTGTGTGAGTGAAAAAATAAAGAGAATGTTTAGAAATCTTAGAAATAGGATTAGAAATGTAGATTTCTACCTTTTGGAGAGACTAGTGAGGGATTTTTGAGAGAATCTATAAGGAAATGTTCAAACATTGCATGGATCAGCGGAAGACTTTATGGGAGAGATTTTCATCTTTCTTTCAAGGGGAAAAAGCTAAGTATTGTGTTCTTCATTATCTTATGATTTTGTAAACACTCATCTAGTGGATTTTCTTTGATGAAATTAAGTTTTTTGTTGTGTTTTCTTTGTGCTTTGTGATGTATTTCTCTTACTCTTTCTTCTTTTTTGGAAATAGTGGCATGAGATAATTATGCCGTTATTTTTTTTTATTTTTCTTTTGCAATGATTAGGATTCATGTTTAGGATATTGGGATGCATTCTAGAAGAAGTTTTAATTATAAATTGTGATGGTTTTTCAACTCTGCTCTTAATTTACTTTTCGATCTGGCAAATTGAATTGTCAAAAAATATTGTGAAACATATGATCCGGGATATGGAGTATGAGTTCTACAATAGAGTGAGAATCACATTTAAGTCCATGAAGGAGTACTTCGTTCATGAGATTCAGTGCAAATAAAAAGAGAAATATACTTTGTTGGGTGTAGAATTGGAGATTTCTTGGGTGTAGAATTGGAGATTTCTTGGGTGTAGAATTGGAGATTTCTTGGGTGTAGAATTGGAGATTTCTTGGGTGTAGAATTGGAGATTTCTTGGGTGACAAACTAAAAATCCCCAACTCAATCTTAATATTTAAAAACTAAAGTGAGAGTTAGCCTTCAGAGGAAGTAAAGTGGGAGCTCTGGAGTGGGAGCCAGTATCCTCCTAGCCTAGCCATAGATTTAGGGACTAAATTTGATATTATCCAATGATTTTCTATAATACTGAATCAGGGTAGAGGGTTAAAAGTGCTCATATTTGGCACGTACAATATTTAATGTATCTCATTCCTTTACATGTCCAATTCACTACATAAGTATAGTAGTTTTTAACAACTTAAAATTCTCCAAACCAATTCATCCACAAAGGGTTTTCTTTGGAATTAATATTTACATTTATGAATAGTTACTATCCTTTCATTTAACATTCGCATTTAAGAGTAGTTATTTGATAAAACACCATTTTAATCGACATTCCAAACTAAGGACTAGTACTAGCAGAATGGAATTTATCTAAGGACATCCTTCCTAGCATCCTCGTGGATCGATATTCGGGCCTTAATCAGAAATTCCTATATTACTTTAAGCGATACGTGCACTTGCGTAGAACCCATAGTGTGTGAATTATTTGCTATATTTCATAATATTTCAATTTTGTATATTAGGTGCTAAATATAAATTAAGTCAAATTTTTGGCCGTCTTTTAAAAGCTAAATTACTACGTAATTACGGGTCGGATCAAGTTTCTAGCACCGTCTCAGGGGAATTGAATTGACATAAAACACACACTAAGGGCGCATCAGTGATCATGACGGTCATCATCTCTTCCACCTTCTTCTCAAGGCTGCTAATTTGTTCATCCTATTTTTATATGGCTTTTTGCAATTCATTCAATAGATTCTCTTGAACAAAAGGTGGAGCATCGCGCACAGATGATGCAGGTCGGGGTCTCAACGACGTTGATTTTGATAAATTCTTCATCCACATTATATGTAAAATCATAATGTCATCATCGAAATCCATTCTTCTTTCTTTGAACAACTTTGTGATCTTAGCTCTAATCTTTCTCAGCCTAACATTAATATTTTTCCCTTTGAATACTTTGATATCTATCTACATTTCTCAAAATTCCTTCCTTTCCTTAATAATCCCTGTAGTAACTATGACAGTGGTGATAAAAGCATCAAACTTACAATCCATTTAAAGAGCGCACTCTCCCGCTCCCTCCAAACGTACCTCTCAAGCGACCATAGGTATCCACACTTTTTTCTTTGGCTTTAATTCTTTGAGATGGGTGTGTCAGTAGTGAAATTGGTGTTTTAGAAGGAAGTGTGCTCCCTAGTGTATGGACTTGATACAGTAGTAAGAAAATATTTTCCATTACTCCTTGAAGATCCATCAAAAGCAATAGCAGGTGGAACTCTAGGACCCGAGTAAGGCTTAGTTAATCTATGCTCTATAGGTCTCTGACTCTTTGTAGTAGTAACCATGATGGTAGCAGCAGCATCGACACAGTCTTCCACGCAGAATCTGACAGGAACACGGGACGGTGGTTTCTTTGGTGATTTCAAAAACTAACTGACTTACCTATTTTTTTTTTAAATTTCATTCTTTATTTTTAGGAAATGGTACATCCCATCCTTTTCAAAATCTCGGGAAAGGAATACTTCTCTTTCCTTGTTAGCTTCTAAAAAAACCAAATGGACTCGGGTGAGAGGTGTGGATCTCTTCCTTTCCTTCTTGCAACTATGTAGCGAAGGTAGAGCAGCCACAATCCTATAAACACTCTCCAACCCAAAAGAAGCAGACAATGAATGAAACTTGCTCCCCTTAGAGGAGAGGTGATGTTTCACACTCCATGATTTCCTCTGACTGCGGATGTGTCTCGGTGAGAGTTATTCTTGAAATCTTGGTCCTTACTACTTTTTGCATTTTCTAGCAGCAGTTTCTTCTCCGTGCCCTAGTCAATGACACTTTTCTCGAGCTAGACCCAATCTCAAACATTAACTAGGTAGGCACAAATACATTAATGAAATCTTTATCATAGAAAATTTCCTTTCCTTTGGAAGATAGAACAGTCGGTGGGTGATAGCAAATCAAGTGGCAGTAGCAATGATGACTCTTCTTAGCACATGGATGATAGATATCACAAAGAATGGGACAATGTACTTAACAGAAGCTGCCTTAATTTTTGCGTCTTTATTCTAGGGAAATTAGACTAGTCATTCAGGCCATATTTGGTGGCAAGTTCAGCAAATTTTTCCTGGGAGATCTTCAGGATTATCGATGCTTTTTTTAGGATGACTTTAAACTTATCGAAGTTGGTACCAAACTTTATCATCGCTTCTTGACGGACTGTAGCTTTGTCATGGGGCATATTCCATCAAATGAAAAGATCAACCTTAGTGATACCATTGCAGCTACCACTTAAAGAGTTATGAGAATTAGTAACAACTTATACTTTACAATTCGAGTGAAAACATTAAAATTAACAAATATCCTCTTGAGAAATGGGCAACTTTCCTTTTATATATTATTATTTTGAGTTTAATCTATGTGTATTATTTTTTTATTTTTTTATTTTCTTTTTGATAATTTTATCTTATTTAAAGTGTGGCTTTCATATTTTACCGAGGTTATGGTTCAAAGGATTTTACTTAATTTGGGTGTTTAAATAGAAAGTATAAAAGTAAATATTTAGGACCCAAAGCTGGGCTAACTTCACAATGCACCTCGCTTACACACCTATTGGGGCTCATCTCCACAAAGAACTCTAAAGAACATGAACCCCTCTATTTTAAAATGGTTAAATGGACAGTCCTCAAATAGATGAAGAGTTGACTGTGCTTGCCCAAGAAAGAAATGAGTGAAGCATGCCAACAAATTAATTTCAATCTAAACCATGAGAGACATGGGCACATTGACGATGTATGAAGACAAAAGCCATCTGATCATAACAGAGAGAAGAGCCAATCCACAATGGAGTCGCTAGAAATTTTTGCTAAAATTCTCTCCTTTTAATAATTTTTATTTGGAGTTAATATATATATATATATATATATATATTTATATAAGCAAATATTTTATATCAGAGTTTTGCACTGCTGAACTTTCTGATGTCTTGAGATATATTGTCTTCTGTAAAGTGAAATCAAACACCTTTTTTGCTTGATAAGATCCTGAAATTCTTCCTTTTCATGCAGCTCATCATGTGCCCACATCCTCTTCATGAAGGTCCCCACCACTTTCTTTCTCACTTCTTTGTTTTTGTTCTGTTCATCAATAACACATCAACATGCCTTCCTTTCCACCTCCCATCAATCGTGAATCAATCCTCTTCTCCTTTATAGCTTTCACCCAAAAGGCAGCCCGGCCCGCCATCTTCCTATTGCTACTTCCCTCCAAAATCTCTTACTATTGATTCATGTGGGGGACAAAAAGGAAGAGAATGGACAAGATGAAGGGTGAAAGATACTTTGACCCGTCCCGAGGAGACAGCTCGGGTCGAACTCAGCTTTTCGACGTAGAAACCTCTCCCACCGGGCTGGCCCGAAGTGGCGCTCCCACTCGGCCGGCCCGCGGTGACTAGGAAGGTATTGTTTCGCGCCGATGCCCGCCGACTCTGAGAACTCGAGAATTTTTCTATTTTGATCAGAGAGGTACTCCAAAGTCTTACTCGGATCGTCGGAACCCGGCACGACGGACCTCAAGAGGGCCACGAGATAGAAAATGTCCTCGTCCGGCAGGACCACTGAGCTCCTCTCATCCCACCTGCACAACTATCAACTTTAGCTATAAATACAGTCTTTACCTGCATTAGTGCTGTGCATGCATGCATCAAAATTTTTATAAATGCTCATAAGTTCAATACAATTAGCTTTATCTCTCATGTATACATTTATAAGTTCAACATTTTGTAAATGTAAATATGAAAACTTTAGGTGGTTGATGTCTAAATACATAATTGTGTGGTATGTACGTAAAATTTCTGAAATATTTTTGTACAAGTGAATCGCTTTCTGGAAAAGTTCAGTGACAGAGAATCCAAACAGAATCCATTGCTTTCTGCGAATCCAAACGCTGGGCTACGCATTATATGCTTTGGTTTTGCTGAAAGCGATGAGCTTTTGTTTGCAGCCAGTGGAGGAAACAAGCTATTATTATTGAGTAAATAGTATTTTTCTTTTAAAAAAAATTAATTTTTTAAATAATTAATTAAAATAAATAGGGCAGGTTGCCTAATGGCTACTTGGCTTTATATAGAAAGCAGGTCGCAATCTATGGGCTCAAACAAGGTTTTAGCACGTGTCGTATGAGACAAATATGGTACAATTAATGAGAAAAAAATTACTATTTCTTTATGCTCAATTATAATCAATCTTTATTATAAAAATGTTATAATTTATTTTGTTATAAATTGAAAATTTCGAATTTTGATGATTTTTGTTGTTTTAATTTTAGGTCATGTTTGGGGCAGCTACAGCTGTGAAGTTGTCATAAAAAAAGTCGTTGTTCCAAAAATTTCGGTTGCTACTTTCTAGCAGTAATCTCATTTAGTCATGTTTGGTGGCAAAAAGCAAGTTTCAGCTGCAAATAAACACACAAACCCCGCCGCTTCAAACTCATTCTTAGACCGTTGGCGGCAAATTGCTTGCTTTGCATAAATTTATATGAGATGAAATATAGTTCCATAACAAATTTTGTAAGCGTGATAAATATAAATAAGGTTATATAATATATTAAATAATATAACAATTATATTTATATATATATATATATATATATGATAGAT